GTCAATAATTTGCAGATAGACAACAAAAGAAGCTGGAGTGTGTCTGATGCTGGTTTTTGTGTTTCTCTTTCCTTGCTCCTCTCATCATGATGCCATCCAAAAGGGAATTCAGAGCTCTAGTGATTGAGATGGTGTTGGCCACCGATATGTCCTGTCACTTCCAGCAAATCAAAGCCATGAAGAATGCTTTGCAGCAGCCAGAAGGGTGAGTCACTTTACAACACTGTGCAGTGGGGGGCTGCATTTCAGCTGGTGTTTTGCCATTGTGTTTGACTTCAAAAGCACCTCTCCAGAGGCCCTCACTCTCTTTGATGTCCGCATCGATTCTTTTTCTGCTGTTGAATTTTGAATGAATTCACTTAAGAGTGAACTGGCACCCCTCTATACACACATCTCTATTCTGTGCTGGTGGACCAAAGCTTGAAAAGGTCACCATGTTGGGATAAGCCTCTCTGGGCATTTCCCTTTGCGTATCAGAGTAACATCAAGGACATGATCCAGCTGAGTGACCTCTACAGTTTGAGTATGACTCAAGGTTATAAGATCTGCAGAACACAACTTACATGTTGCCCTTCTGAAGATGGTATCAGCTGCCACCTCTGCAAGGGGCCTGCTCCATAACTAAAGGACAGATGAAAACAACTTGAGATCCACTGAGGGAAGGACTGGAAAATAACAGATGGAGCAGTATGTGGAAGGCCTTTTCTTCTTCCCAGTACGCCACTGGGAGCTGTAATATTTTGTCCACAGCTCTTCCCCATAAAACTCCTTTTATACTGCAGAAAGCTCTGAGTGATGGTCATTTTTTCACCCTGGACATAGGTCCATCCAGAGCCTCCCAGAACTATAACTGTATCAGACCAGAGCGTGGTTAGCCACTTGGTCCTCTCAGAAGCTACAACTCTTCCGGCTATTTCAGACAGTCAAAAGCTGGAATTAAAAAATGAGACTACCCATCCCAAGTAAATGCTATTTACTGGGTTCTTGGGCTAGCCTCTCAGGTTATGGTTTTAAGAAATTGCCAGCCTTTTTTGTTCTGTGGAACCAGGTGCAAGGATCCCCTTCTGACCTCACACTAGTTTTCTAGCAGTGAAACTTTTGTCAACTGCTGCGTAGACTCATCTGTGCCCCTGAGATCAGATCCTAACTGTTTACTACAGTAAGATGGTAGGGACCAACTTCTCTTCTGAGCTGCATAAAATGCAGCCCAGCTGAAATGGGGAACACAGCAGTTCTTCAAGCCTGCTTGTGCAGATAAGCAAGCCTGGAAAGGAGCTCAGCAAGGCTAAGCAAAGTTTCTTTTTGCACTTCTTAATGTCTCTGTTACAACAGGAATAGTGTATGTTGGAGAAATGAGACAATCTTTTATAGTTGTCTGATTTTATGAATGCAGAAATCATTCCATTAATATCCTGGCAAAAGATTCTAATGACCTTATTTCCATGCTTAGGTGAGATTTTTGTCACTCTCCACTGCAAGAGCAGACAATTAATTCATTTGATCCTTTGGGTTTTCAGAATTGACAAGCCGAAAGCCTTATCACTGTTGTTGCATACAGCAGATATCAGTCATCCAGCCAAGGCCTGGGATCTCCATCATCGCTGGACCATGTCTCTGCTAGAGGAGTTCTTCAGACAGGTAAAGCCAGGGAAGTTCCTCTGCATTTCTGCAGCACAGAGGGAGTGTGTGGGATTGGGCAAGGAAGTAGGGAAATACGAACACAGACCTTTTCCTTCTTCTCTGATTTTCTCAAGAACCTCCTAAATGATATGAAGCTTTCTCATCTGGCACCAGTAGCACTGGCTATTATGACTTTTGGGAAGTTAGTGTCTGATACACTGCCTATAGATGCAGACGTTATCTACATAGTAGAAATTCTAATTTGGGAAGCTAATATGTGTTTCAAATTACCAAAATATAGAATATGTGATGTTCTGCTTAGCTGTAGAACCATAGAAAACAGATTTAGGTAGCTGTACTTTATAGAACTGTACATATTGTTACTGTACTTATATTGCTCAAAAAATGTGAAAAATGCATTACCCTTACTTTAGATGAAGTGAACTGATTTAGTTTATAGCTCACAGTGGACCGCCTGTTGACAGACCCACAAATCTAGACAAATCATTAAGCTGTGTGTGATAGCTATAAGCTCCCCAAGTGATTAATTAAAAGCACTTAAAGAGCTGCCTTAAAAAAAAGTAAAAGTAAACAGCACTTAGGAGTGTTTAGAATACTTTTCACCAATATGAATTACTAAACTAAGCAGAAAACTAAGTGCTTAATTTCCCTCCAAAGTTCAATAACTTCATGTTTTATAGTAAATCTGAATGTAAAAAAAGAAAAATATATGACAATTTAAAAAAAGTTTTAACAATTTTTTTAAATGGCATCTGTTTTTAAAGGCATTTTGGGAATCCCTTCTTAATAAGGACACTGCAAGAATTTGCTTTGAAAGGAATCCTTTAATTTGTTTTTCAAACCAAGAATGGTATTACTAGGTGCAAGCACGTAGATCATACTTGCAGCTGTCTCTGTGTTGCCACACAGGAGGGTCATGCAAGTAGGATGATTTTCACAGACATTTTAGGCAAAACTCTGTGTATGTTTATGCTTTTCTAGCTCAAAATTATACTAGATGTGTTAAAATACACCACTGCTGAGTCCCCTGAAGACTGGTGAGGGAATTAAGATTAGCTAGATATGAGACCACAAAAAGCCCAAGTTTTGATCTGTTTTATACATGTAATGAAGACAAAATTATTATTTTATGTTTTCATAAGAATAATTTCATTTCAGCCAACAAATCCTACTTTAGTTTTGAATGACAAATGCCTCCACTTTTAGATAAAGCTTTATATAAAACTTGTATTCTAGTTCCAAATTCAGATGCAGTATTCATTGCCTCTTCAGGAAAACCCCTAAGCTTACCATGAAGCATAGACTTGTGTTCATTGAAGTAATTTAGTTCTAGATCAATAAATACATCCCTACCTGACAACAGAAAAACAACACATACACTTCTCACAAGCTGAGAAATACCACTAGCCAGAGGGGACTATGGTGATAAGAAACTGGGCTGGTCTCAGATTAGGTATTTATTTCCTTATGCTCTTCACCTGCAGACCCTCTCCTGTCCTTTCTGTTAGTGCTGTGCAGAGACATAAAGCCTGACTTAACCTCTATCAGTACAGGTCCCCAGCCCTATTGCTTTCCAAGTATTTTGTGATGTGACACAGGTCTTACTACACCAACTAACCATGCTGTAGCTGTGAATGATGCTTCTGAGTACAATACTGTTTTTTTTACATTCAGCAGCTATGGTGAGCATCTCTTAAAGCAAACATCTTGCATGAATTAATTCGTTTTACTAAGGCACTTCAGCTAGCCATGAGGGAGCTGCCCAAACAGCTTAGAAGTAGTCAAGTATCTCTCTGAGCAGTCAGAAAGGCAGTTAGGGGTTCCTTCCTAAAGAGAATTAGGCGCTGGGGTTTTTAAGAGGCATAAGGAGTGAGAGGAGAATGATGATTAGATAAGAGCAGGCTTTGAGAGATGTTTTTCCTGAGAGATGCAGCAGGCACAATAAAGGAACATTACTTCGAAATATTTCTGTGTTTGGTTTCTGTTTTACCCTGATATTTGTATATCAGACTCCTTAACATAAAGCAGAATTGTTCTGCAATAGAAGAATATTATTGCTTGTTGTTCCACCCAAAATTCTAACAGGACTTGTTCCCCCATTTCATGTATGTTATATTAACAAAAAGAAGAAGAATTCAGCTCTTCTTATGCCTACAAAAGTTTTTCTCTGATTAGTTTGCTGGCTATTTTAGCCTCCATTTGACATTAGTCGAAACACTGGCAAGAAGTTCAGCACAGTTAAAGTGAGCTGCTGAGTTAAGGAATCGATTCTGTAGTATAGTTAACAGGCTATTTAAATTTGAATGCTCAGTGGGGAGTATTGCAACTATGTCATCCTACGTATCTTCTCAGCATAAAGCAATATGTTATAGAGTGACTGAACCAAATTAAAGGGCTTTTTGAGAGTATACAGCTTGAAAGACTGGAAAAAAATGGGGTTATAACACTTGATCTTCTGCACCATCCTGTGATGTTAGAAAAGGACTTTCAGTTCTGAGGGCTGGAAAGTGCGTTTGGACTTTTGTACTTAAGCACTTACGTAAAATGTTGACAATGTCAGTGTTTCCTTTGGAAGAAACAAGTAATCTGCACCTGGCCAGCCATGACATGTGAATTCCTTATCTCAAAGACTAAAAAAGACATACAAAGAAGTGCAGGCCTTGAAAAATCAGTACTGACACTGATGTTTTCTCTTGAAAGGTTTGCTCTGAGAACTGAGTTCTGCTGGGTTCTCTGGAGAACGGCAGTGAGAAGCGTTCTTGTGCTCAAGTAGGTTTTTAGTTGATGCATAGAAGTACCAGGCAGGCAGGGAAAGTTCTGAGGAAAGATTCACTGGAATCAAGATGCTTAATTCACCAACTTCTTCTTGGACTACAACTTTTCCAGTCAGACTCAAATTCTCCACAATTTGTGTTAAAAAAACACCAAAAAACCCCAAATCAAAACTTAATTAAAGAAAGTAAAATGAGAAGCTTTTACAGTCATGACCTAAGATATCGAAGTGCAATGTGTCTTGTCTTTTTCTAATTTCTTCTCAATTTTGTTTCTTCAGGGTGACAAAGAGGCAGAACTAGGGCTTCCCTTCTCTCCACTGTGTGATCGCAAGTCTACTATGGTTGCTCAGTCTCAAATAGGTATGTCCCTTTTCGTACATGCAAAGTAGCATCTTAAAAGCAAAACTTACTCCTCCCTGTGGGGCTAAGATCATGGTGATCTCTCATCATTTGGAACTATGTTAAAGAGAAGAAATATAGCACAATGGTGTTATTTTCCCCAGATCAACAACTGAAAGCTGAGGAACCATTAAATTTATGGTGGTGGTTCCGTGCAGTAACCAAGTTACCTCTGATGTGTCTGCAGAGATGACTACAGTGCCTGGTTATGACACTACTCCATGGTTTTCTGAGCTGTGAAGATGAGGTGCACACGGCAACGTGTTGTGATATCATTGGTGTATATGAAAGTGTAATGTCAGTCCCTTCGATGACCTGGGCAAAACCTATTGTGTATTTTTCCATTTATTCCTCCCACCCTTTCCCTCCCAGTGCTTCAATCCAACCAATATTTTTCACTGAAGCCAACCAAATAGCAAAACTTTTTCTGCTCCACCCATTCAGAAATGGAGATCTTTTTACAGACTCACCAACAGCGCTTTCTCTACCTCTCCTCCAGTTATTGAGTGAAAAAGTAGGAGAAAGATGAGGCAACAAGCCTGGTATTTGGTGAGAAGACAAGAGGGGCTAAGTGAAGTAAAACTGTTCAGGAGGCTGGGGGCAAAAAAAGACAACGGAAAAGGTGGATTTGTGGGTGGATTTTTATACCTAGGAAGCAAGTGAAGTAGACAGAAGAATGTGATCTAACCTCAACTGGAGAACAGGGTGCCAAATGGAATAACAAAAGAAAGATAACACGGACCCTAAAAATGAAGGAACTGAGACCAGAAGCAGAAAGAGAGAGAATGTATTAAAGGAAAACAAACAAAGAATTTGAAGTATGAAATTTCTCTCAAAGAACAAGACAAAAACATCCCTGAGCCTAGGAAAGTTCAGATTCATATCTGTGGCTAAGAGCCGTTTCTGTTTAAAATTATTTCATTGTTCCTGTTAGGCAAGCCATTCTCTGAGGGACCCCATCCCAGATTTTTCTGGCTTTGGAAGTTTAGACAGTTCAGCCAAGAATCTGAACTTGAAAGCCCTATGCAAGCTTGGCCTGGTTGCCAGACTTGTAGCGTTTACTCCTCTGCAACAGTAACCCAGAAGAGTGGGAATGTGTGTAGAGCGCAGTGCAGCTGCTGAGGACATTTGTGTTCTGCCAGCAGCTCGGTGGAGGGAAGCAGCAGCAAACTTGAAGTACTGCAGTCTCAGCTAAAACCCATGTTGAGGACTCCTGGGCACACTACACCTACTGCTGTGCTGTGGGAGAAGATAAACTCTCTCTCTCTCTGGCTGGTGTGGAGCGAAGTGAATGTAGAGACTTCTCTTTCGCATCCCTTCTATCAGCTTTCAGATATGTCCCTCACTCCCTTCAAGGAAGAAGAGTTCTGCTTCCCATGGCATCCCTCTGCGTAGGGTTGTGTGTGCTTGAAAACCAGTTTTCCTTGTCCTCTTTTGTGTTCCTTTGCTCAGGAAGGCCAGGAAAGCCAAGAAACTTCTGCACTGATGCCCCTTGTGTCAAGCCACTGCAAAATTAATGATGAATTAAACCATCAACAACACAATTCCAACTTATAAAAGAGGCACTCATCAGTATGCAAAGGCAGCCTTATTTAGTCATTTACTGTTTGTCATTATATTTGATTTGTGCAGTTTAGTAATCCATTGACATTAATAGGCTACTCTCTATAAATCTTGCCTCCTAACATTATAAAATTTTCATTTCTCAGTCTGCTGCATATATTGGCAGGGTCTTTCTGTAACATCTCCTTTGTTAAATCAAAACCTCTTATATTTCTGGCTATCTGCTGAGGTAAGGCTTTCAAAGTTGTAGGCTAGATTCTCAGACAAATAATCTGTTCACATTCATTTATTTACCTGATTAATAGCCTTAACAAATTGTTCCCTGGAATAGTAATTACTACATTTCTTTGCAAAAGTAAGTTCTTCTTGAATTCTAAATCGTGCTATTATCTGCAGCAAGCAGCCATCAGTTCCCACAAAAAAAAACCCTCTGCCCTTTGTGAAATAAAATTGTACTCCTGGTTCTGTCAGGGACAGAGCCTAGAAATCCTGTTGTGGTGGCTCGACTTGTTTGTAGTTGTTGGTTTCCTGCCCTAAGGTCACTGCAGATGCAACAACAGTGGGCAAGCATTTTTATTAACAGAAGATTTTCACAAATGCAGACTGAAGGTTTTGCAGTACGGACTTTTTCCATGGAAATGAAGCAGTCTAACAGCAAAAGCTTCCTCAAAAGAAAGAATGTCTCTCTCTCTCCTGTTGCTTCAGTTTGTGAAGAAATTGTTCAGAGTTTAAACTGATATTTAAAACCCCCTGAATATCAAGTAATGAACCTGAGTTTTAAAACCTATTAATGTTAATGCGAATAACCAATTTATCATCCTTTTTCCTCTTCAATAGGATGAGTGTGGTAAATATTTCTGTACCACAGTGAAGTACAGAAATCAGAAGAGATTCATGTCCAGAAGTCAGGCTGCTTATCAGACTGGGGGAGACAAACAAACTGCAAAGAAAACCAGGCCAAGATTTGTATTTCCCAAGAAGAATATCAGCAGTTAAAGCTTCTCTGTCTGTCTCAGACTGTAGAAAGCTTGTCTGACTGGAGATCAGCCTTTGTTGTCATTGTCCTCTTTTGCAGCTGATAAATGTAGCAGCATCCTTTTATTTTTGTCCTTTGGCTGGCAAGAAAGAAAATTACAGCTTCAGAAAACATTGGATAAAGGCTGATGAGTGCATGCTGATGATTCTCCTTTTTTTTTTTTTTTGGTGATGGGCTTTGGGGAAACTGTCCTCTAGCCAGTGTTTGCCGTGGTGAATGAAGTTGTGTTCTCAGGTGGAATGAATGAACGCTAGGCACATGCCTGGAATCCACCCTCAGCACGCAGGGTTAATTGGTAAAATCATGTTAGTTGCTGGGGTACAGAAATATTTACCACATTCATTCTATTGAAGAACAAAAAGGATGATAAAATGGTCATTAGCATTAATAGGTTTAAAAACCCAGGTTCATTATTTGATATACAGGGGTTTTAATTAGCAAACTAAATCACCATATTTAAATCACAGTGTCTTTAGGTAAGAAGAGAGAGAACACGGTGTGGGGGAGGCACTTGGGAATATGGCATAAGTTACATAATTATTAATAAAGTCCTAAGTTTTGTTTCTACGGTAGCAGATTATGTTTCCCAACTTTATTATAATCCCCATTTTAAGGTAACATAGTTGAATAACTTGTTCATGTTATAGAGAATAGAGGAAAAAATACCACTTATCAAAGAAAAGTTCTCCTAGGTCTTTGAGTTTGTTTACCTGTGGTCCCTTGTGCCACCTCTGCCTGTCTTTGTTGATGAGATGCAAGATTTCTCCCAGGGAAAACTTGTTTCTTAGATGCTTACAGCTGGACCTTGTGTTTATGTGTAAATGTCGAGTATCTCAGGAAGCGGATCCCACCACCCCGCTGCTGAAGTTAGTGACACACTCATGCATCTGATATCAGAGATTTGCCTGTCTCAGGGTTGTTAGAGGTGATGGAGCAAATGGCAGTGGTATTACTTGCCAAGCGGAAGTGACAAGGTACCATGGCTTGGGTTTCTTTGATCATTAAGAGATAAAAATTCTTTTGAGTGAAGGGGAATAGAAGAGACATATAGACAGGCAGACACACATGCATATGTAAATCAAGTTTTCATTGTCCTCAGGATTCCTGTGGCACACTTAACACTGTTCTCAGTCAGTACAATTTCCAGTGTTTTAAAAAATTGTATGAAGTTTGCTGGGATTATCTGGGCTGTGATCTAGCACACAATTTCCTGTTGTGGCTTTATACTGCATACATTTGTGATTAACTCCCTGGTAGGAAGGGAGTTCTTTTTTTCCTAAATTTGAATAGGTAAGACTGTCTCAGTGTTACGGAGGCACATGACTCAGATGTTCAGATAAGACTGGATGCATATTTTCTCCAGATTTACAGAATGTTAGTATGAAATTCTGAGAACTTGCAAGTAACGTTTTTAATTTGGCTAGGCATGAAAATAGACCTACTTACCCATCGTTTCAGAAATCTAGCAAAAATCAGGGGAGGGAAATAAAACTAGAAGGATGCTGAACTGCTTTGCACTCAAGATGTGGATCAAAGCATCTGTGAATTCTGGTGCCTGGACCATGTGGTCTCTTCTCCTTTTATTGTTCTGTTATCACCTAGAATTGCCAGGGTCTGTTGTAGAAATATCATGACCCAGTCAGAAAAATGGTAATATTATGAATGTATAATTAATAGTTGATAATTACCAAATCTTTAAAAATTGTAACAGTAG